AAATAAATAAATAAATAAAATGTTTTAAAAATAAATAAATAAAATAAAATTACAGGCATCATCAGGCATGGTGGCACCTGCTTGCAATCCCTGTACTCCGGAAGTTGAGGCAGGAGGCAGGAGAACTGCCACAAATTCAAGGTCAGTCGAGGCTACAGAGTGAATTCAAGCCAGCCTGAACTATGTAGCAAGACACTGTCTCAAAAAAAAAAAAAATGCTGGGGCCGAGGAGATGGCTCAGTGGAATTAAGTGCTTCCCTGGCAAGCGCAAGGGCCTGAGTTCAATCCCCAGTTCTGCAAAAAAAAAAAAAAAAAAAAATCTAGGTGTGATGGTGCACACTGTAATCCCAGCACTCAGGAGGCTGAGGCAGCATTTTGGGAGTTCATGGCCAGCCTGGGCTACATAGTGAACTCGACCTGCTTGGCCTACACAGTGAGACCGTTTCACAAAAAAATTAAATTAAGTTAAATTAAATAACCAAAACCTTTCTAAATGAAATTACAGGTGCCAATATGCCTAGCACAATAAAAAAAGAGAGATATAAAGGCCAGCCATCTGGCATAGTGGGTGACAAATGCCCATATTCCCAATTAGTCAGGATGCTGAGACAGAAGGTAAATTCAAGGTGAGTCTGGACAATTTAGGAGATCACCTCTTAAAAATTAAAAGTAGAGGGCTGGCGAGATGGCTCAGTGGTCTAAAGCACCTACTTGGAACAAGCTTAGCAAACCACAGGGACCGTGGTTCAATCCCCCAGCACCACATGCCAGCCAGCCCCGCCCTCTGGTGGGCTGAGCTGGCCATACACACACACACACAATATAAATAATAAAATAAATAAATTTAAAAAAAAAATTAAAAGTAGAAGGCCAGGGATATAGCTCACCAGCATAAGTACCTGCCTGGCAAGCTCAAGGACCCAGGTCCCATCCTCCACCCCGCCCCAACCACATGCCATGGCCTGAAACCAGGAGTGGTGGTGCACACCTGTAATCCCAGCATTGGGGAGGCTGAGACAGGAGGAGGACTTCAAGTCTGAACTGCCTAGCAAGACCCTGTACCAAAATAAATAAATAAATAAAATTAAAAAGGGCTGGCAATATTGTTCAGTGTGAAAATACTGGGTTCAATCTTTGGTACTACACACACACACACACACACACACACACACACAAAGAAAAATCATACATAACCTCAGTGTCCATCAACAGATAAATCTATGAATGTATATACAATTGAATATTCTGCCTTTAAAAACATCCTTATAATGTGATACATTGTAGATGAACACTGAGGACACTGCACTAAGTGAAATAAGCCCAAATGATGGTGACAAATACAGTATGATTCCACTTAAATAAGGTATTTAATGCAGTCAAATTCATAGACAAACAGAAGAACGATGGTTGCTAGATGCTGGGGAAGGGGAAAATGGAGTGTTGTTTATACTGTAATTTTAGTTTTGCAACGTTAAGGGTTACACAATAATAACACTGGGGCTGGCGAGATGGCTCAGTGGTCTAAAGCACCTACTTGGAACAAGCTTGGCAAAGCACAGGGACCGCGGTTCAATCCCCCAGCACCACATGCCAG